GGAAAGAGAGGAGAACAGGTTACCTCTGCACACCCCTGAAACCAGAAGTTATTCTAGAAGAAAATGCACACTCTCCTGCACATGCTTTTATTGATGGCAACTGTAACTGAGCAAATCTGCAGTCCCCAGTAGCTGTAGCCTCATCTCTGATATTTCTGGGCTTAGTGTTGGGGTTCTCAAGCACAGGTTGAACTAAGTAGAGGATCTATTGGGTATTTATATCAGACTGACAGCCATACGGAGCCAAAAGCTTCATCTAGTCCTCAAGTCTCATGCATTATTCCTAAAATACAGGTAATACAGTAGAATCCATTAGGAGGGAAAGGCTGGCAGTAATAGAGGGCACTGACCCAGTCTCTTGCTCTCACTTTCTCTCTCTTTTCCTCTTTATACACAACCACAATATGGAAGCTATTTACATTCTACTCATGGCATCCCTCCTTACTCGGGTAAATCATAATCTACAGCTTCAAGGATTTCCATTACATTTTCATCAGGATAAAACTTGCAGGGGAAAAAACTTTATGACATCCCCAAGTTGTTATTTCCCAGCATGACATATACAAATAACAGTGGCCAATACTCCAGCCTCTGCTAATGCCACAGCTCAGTGCCTTCTAAAAAAGATGGCCAATGCTAGCTGACCAGTCCCAGCTTACAGAGATTCCATGGACAGACAGAGCCCTGGCTATCCCATTGGGACATACTAGTTACCCATTTAATATCCTAAAGGAGCTGCTGTCAGTCATGAATACATGCTCTTTTTCTGCTGCCACCATCCATAGTTGTGCTCTAATGCAGCAGGTTATCATCTGTCAAATGTGGTCCCATGTACATCCTAGAGAGCTCTTTCCAGATGTGGATGGAGCACACTCTGGTCCAGATGCAGTGTGACAAACTAGCCTAAGAAACAGTAATAACCAATAAGTCTCAGGGAATGTGAAGTCTGAGCCAAGTCAAGAATCAGGCAAGGTCTTTTGACATTTAATTTTGCCTCCATGGATTTTTTTTGTTTGTTTTGTAGTGCCTTTAGGGTCATTTTGGACTGAAAATGGTTTTCTGGACAGATGTTTCTTAAAAAGTTAACTGTATCATTCAGAAATTTCACATCCTTCATTGAGATTAAATGTCATTTTAAGAACTAAAAATGTTTCCACTTTTTCAATAGCTTACTCCTAATTTTTCGTCCTTGCTTCCTCCAATCTGCTATGAGATATTTATCAGCCACCTTTAAGACTGAAAAGGGAGAAATCATAAAACAAATGCAAAAAACCTGTAAAAAAATGTGGAAAGAAATTGTGAAAACTGTAATTTCCGCCTTTCTTCTTAAATCAATATGAGATCAATGCCGTGAAAAACCTAGAAAACTCCAGACAACAATGAACATTTCCACTTTGTTCCTTGGTTTATAAAAGAAAAAGTTAATACAGAAAACAAGGAGTATTTTGCATTCAGTCCTCTACAGCAGCTCACAAAAGCAGTCCCTCAAATCCTAATGATCACCAAAGATTGAGATCAGCTCACAGTTTAGCTCAAGGCCCACAGGCCTTGTTGTTTATGTAGATCTCTCCCATCTATATCTAAACGGATGACCTTGTGCTAAAAGTGTTATCACCAGACTGGGCCATTACTGTAAACTACTTTGGTGTTTCAGCAGAACAGAGACAGTAATGCAACAGTTTATGCACATGTGATGGATGGAAGCTCAAGGTTAAACGGAATCACACAGGCATCACTCTTCAGCTTATATTAGGAACTAGAGCAGAAAAGTGAGGTAGGAAACAGAAAAACATTTTTAAATCAAAAGAAAAGGCCTACAAGCCTGACTGAAATCGAGGAGAAGAGTTGAGAATATTTAGCTTTAGTACTTCACTCCCTACATTTTGGTTTTACAGTTTTAATCTTTAAATATGTCCTGTGTTTTTCTCCAAACTGTGTTTAACCACTTTTCTCTCCACCTGCAGACCCATCAGGATTATAAACTTTGAAAGACATTCCAGTCCATTAACAGAGTGAACATATGTAGCTGAGGCTGGTTTGTAGCCATCTGGCATGTTGCAATGCAGAGAGGTAGCAAGTAACACCTAAATTCTAGCCATCTCCTCGTTTCAGTCCAGATGTACTAAAAGTGATGTGGAGTCCTGTATCCAGATCCTAAAAAAATGGTAACAAACCTTGTCACCTTGGCCTCATTTCTGCCATCTGTTACTTCGCAAGCAGTAGAACATCTTCCCAAATGTGCCTCCAATATTCCTTAAACTCCTGATGGGTCTTAGAACTCAATATTCTGCAGAATAAGGTCCATTTTTAACACCATTAACTCAAGAAAAATGGATAAAAGTAACTCTCCACTAATTCAACCTCCTGCCCCAAAACTCCACAATTTCTAAGGGATATCCTCAACTCAGTGTGCTAAAAGATTCCTGAAGAGTTTTTTCACCGTCTTTTCTTAATTAACCTCCCTGTTCTAATCAGAAAGCACCAACCCACCATGCAGAAATTACTCTGATGGCATTTCCATCCAAAATTGGAAGCAGCTGTTCTGCAGCATGCATTAGAAAGACCTTTCCAAGCAAAGTTATGCAGATCTGACCCTCCATTCCCCTCTCCAAAGAGCAGTCCCTAATCACATGCTTCATGTTCAGCCAAAATTTACTACTCTTACACAACCTGAGTAGGACTTTACTTCATCAGCTTAACTGCTAAAAGCATAACTTGTCACTGGGAGCAAAGGTACTGCACCCTGGCCCACTGCCGAGTTCAGGTTGTACTGGGTACTGCAAACACACTAGTATTTGCCTACACTGAGATGGTGATGATTTTGCGTTTGTTTTCCTCATTTTCCCTAATGGGTGTCACCAAGATCTTTCTCAGAAGTGGATAACAGTGACAGAGGTGGACAGATGATGAACATCATTAAAATATTCATGACAGGCTCATAGTCTGTCATGCTAATATCTTTTTCTGTTCCATCATAGGAAATGATGCTCTATATATGAAAAAAAGGCTTGCAGTTACACACAGAGAAATAAACTATGCTGTTTATAGGCATCAGTGTCAGATTGAAATATGACAGACAACTGGAACACGCTTGGAACCAAAGCGTGATTCAAATGCTCACCACAGTCCCTGGTTGGCTGGCGTGTACAAGCGCGCGCACATGTGTGTGCCTGTGCGTGCGTGTGCGTGCATGTGTGTTTGTGGTTCAGGTTTTGTTTCAAACATATCTTCTTTTACTAAACATTAAATTATTTCCCAAGAAATAAAAAGCTATGTACATTGTAATTATCTACAATAGGCCTTCGGCATCCTCGCTATTCACATGCACAGGGTTTGGGCTGCATTCATAAACTCAGGCATGCTCCTTCACTGCTTGTGGTGCTGTCCCCTCCAGCCATTCTACGGCCCAAGACATGTGTGTTTGCTCTGCCTTTTTCTTTCCCTTTCTCAGCAGTCAACAATGCCAGAGGGTGACTGAAATTAAAAGCAATTAAAAGAGGCGAGATTCTGCAAAAAGCTGAGACATGCATGTCATTGGAAAGCAATGGCTGTTGGCACATTGCAGAGCCTGATCCCACAACCCAGCCTGAGCCCTCCGGCAGGATGAAATAGCTGATTCATGAGTTATTTTGAAAAAAGGCTGAAAAGGGACAATTTACCTACAACATGTTGTCTAAGATACTACACCTGCCTGTTCGATTTGAATGCTTAATTCCCATTCTGTATTTAATAGGAGGCTGGCATTCAAATCCCATTGCACACTTGACTTGTCCTTTGCTTTTTCTTTCTAATCTGATGAGTATTTCCTAAATATGAAGAACCCCTGCTATTTATGAATGCAGCCCTGGTAAACAGAAAAAGCCCACCCCACTCCCTCCCAAATGATAATAATGACATATAACTTCTTCTTTTTTCATAATAATAATAACAATAATAATTACAAATAAAAAGTCAGAAATGCTGTAGACCAAGTGGATTTTCAGTATTAAACACTAGTGCAGTTGGGGATTTCCTTTGTGCTTTCACTGTTGGCAATAGTTGAGATGCTTCCTGTGGAGGAGAAAATGAAGAAGACAGTCAGGGCAGTGGCCTCAACAGTTTGTTTTATATTGCTTCTCACTCCTGCTTAAGATGTGGTTGTGTAAGTGCAAAGACAGAAAAGTTGTTTAAAAGTAACACATCTTTTATTTGCATTTGCAATAAACATGGAGCATGCAGCAAATCTGCTACTACAGCTCAGTTGACCAACAGTAAACTCATTAAGCTATTAAGGGCATATTCAATTATAATGATAGCACACCAACAACAGAAGCTCGGCTCAGCTGATTCTTCTGAGGGTTCAGGGAATTTGGGATGCCTTCACAAGAGAGACAGGGTCATGAGGGAGCATAGGTGTAAGCAACAGCCATTACTACTACTGCTATTTCCAGGTTTCCACCCGGTCACATAGCACTGTGAGAAAAGCTGAAAAACTGCAAGAAAAACTCCCTGTTACCATGTTGCAGAGAGAGACTTGCTCCCTATCTCAGTGCCTCAGGCTCTGCTTGCACCTGAGGTCACAGTCACTGCCTTTCCTAATACCCCAATGACCAACATCCTCACCCAGACTGTGAAACAAACCCCATCTGAGGGCTGTCTCTCACCCATCACTCGCGTGTCCACCTCTTTGTCCATCAGCTCCTCGGGGTCTGTGAACTCACTCAGAGTGATTTTGGGGGCATTTTCACTTTGGCTGACAGAGCCAATCATTTCCTGCTCCTTGTCATGCTGAACTTGGGCATAGATGTTAATCCAAGGGATTTTCCTGTGCAGGAAAGGAAAATGAGGGGTTATATTTTGTAACACAGGGATCCTCAGACTGTCATTGATTAATCAGACAGATTAAACTGAGACCAATCCCAGAAATACAGCCCTGGCAGTGATGTAAATATCAGCTCTCAGAATGGTGAAAGCACCACAGTGAAGTTCAGCTCTCAAAGTGCCGTTAGCATCCACTGATTCTAACACCAGCCTAAAGCTACCCCAAATCTCAGGCCACTGCCTTCCTGTTCTGTGCTCGAAGGCTCTTCCAGCTGTAAACCTAAATGTTCTGGTTCCTGCCCTTTTAAATGAGAAGTCGGGCACACAGTGGATACTGCACCCAGCTCAGAAAGCAACAATCAACTAAGCAGAATCAGCTGCAATTGCCAGCTCTCTCAGTATTTATTACATGATCAGTGGTGCATTGGAAACCAAAAGTAAAAATCAATTTGAGCAGTACTATCAACTGAGAAAAAAAATGGCCTTGCTTGTTTCTACTGACAGGCCCACACTGACTCAGTAGGAATTGCCACATCAGAAAGATTTGTAAAGAATTGGTCCTGCCTCAGAGTACAGGAAGGACTTGGACCTCAAAACACCCACCCAAAGTCTATTTGTTACCATTTCATTGCAAAAACAGTTTGCCATTCTAGAGATTATGCAAGTCTGCAGAGACTTATTTCTCCTTGCTGCTCAGGAAGCCATGGAAGTGAAGGGACTATGTCTTCTTCCTTCTTCCAAGAGAAGTTAACTTGGATTGCTAGAAAGATATTCTTGAAAGTCCGTTGGTTAGACAGATGGTTAGATAGTAATCGCTGGAGGAATGCAAGTTTAAAATGAGAGAACTGAAAAGTAACGTGTTAAGCACCATGGAGGTTGCTAGGATTATCTGTGTGTAGTTGCCAATGGGAAGGTGACTGACCGGTTTTGCTAATGCTCTTAAAAGGACTTTATGTCTTTTATGGACTTTTATGCAGTCCACACTGCTAAAATAAGGAAAATTCAGAGAATGTTTTCAGTTCCTTAAAGCACACAGGAGACAGAAAGATGTGTTCAAAGGAGGCTATATAAAATGCCACACCTTTATGCTAACTTGTCTGCTGTTGGGTATGTCAGAGATTGAAAGCAGTGAAAATTGCCTCAGCTCTCATGAATTCAATAGACCTATCCTGATCTTGTGCTATTGGCTTGATTTGGCATTCTGTTCTTAACCAGCAGCAAGTCAGGACATACTTAGGATGTTTAGCAGCAGTTAAAAAAAACTCATATCCTTCTCCCTGCTTTCTACCCTTTCTTTTTAACCTTCAGGCATGCCTTACAGATCACTAGAAGACAGCACTACACAGAGAACGCACACGTTGGATGAGAGAAGACAAATGCATTCCTATAGGATTTAAGTGCCTAGAATACATCTGGAGGTGTGTAGGGATGTGGACATGAGAACAAGCCTGGAGATACTGGAAAACTTAGTTTTGCTTCCAAACAATGCAGTGGTAGAGAAGTGAGAGTCTTCTGAGAAAACATGAGAAAAGCTCTTTAGAGTTGTGAAGCAGAGAGCCCCCAGGTACTCCAGAGAGGGGACAAAGAAACCGAGACAGCTGAACATATGTGCATTCATACACACACAACTAATCCTGCTGTGCCTGCCAGCACAGACACAGGTGGCCACAATGTCCCACCACACGTCTGAGCACATATGCATGCACACACTTTCCTGCAATGCTGTCGCAAGGTACACACACACTGACTGCTCCATTGCCCCACTATCACTCATCAGCCATAAATGTATAGTATTTACCTGTTACATGCTCAATCTCCCAGAAAAGAAACAACCTTTTTACACATTATTTCCCTAGTTTTCCCCCTTCTTTCCTTTTCTATCCAGCCTTTCTCAACAGACACCTCTCTGGCAACAGTGTTTAACATGCCTGCTGAGTCTATAACTTGGTGGATTCATAATGAGTCTGTGCAAACCAGCAAAGCACAGATTCTACAAAGTTTTAGAATTAAAAATTCATGGAGGCCCATGGTGTCCCCACAACCTTTTCTTGTAAGCAGCAGTTCTGTATCCAGGCTGGGATCACTGTTAGTTAGAAAAGTACATATGGCTAATGGACCTCTGCATCACTGAGAGACAGACAAAAGCTTTTGTTTGCACCTCCTTTTCCCAATAAGAATTGTTGCATGTTCTCACTTCTGATCCATCAAGCCAGAAGATTTAGAAAGAGCTGAACAGTCATTTTCTGTTCTGAAAAATCAAGCCAAGGACACTCTGGGTATCTGACTTAATTCTAAACTTTGTCAGTCTGACCTGGGTTTGTTCTTTTTGCAACAAAGCTAAGTGGATGAGCTCTGGGCTAAGCAAAACTGATGCTTTAACTACCTTCCCCCTCACTCCCAATTTGTGATACATTCAATTTTCAGACAGATTTTAACAAGATAAGGTCTTACCAGCCCTGGAGCACAGTACAAGGCTGGTGGCTTCTATGCTCGAGGCTCAAGATGCAAGTAGCACAAGCCAGTTTTATGAGCTGTAGTACCATAAAAATGACCTGGAGACTGCCAAAGCAAAGTGGATTACCAAGCCTCTCACTGTTCTCTGGCAGCTAGAATATACAGATCCTTTTTCCTAATTGGTGACCACAAAACCAAAGACATTAGGCCAAACCTAAGAAGCCATCTCACCAACACACAAAGCACATCTTACCTACATCTGTAGGTTTTACCTACATCTTGACACGTCCCAGTGAGATTTCCTTGCCCTCCTCATCCTACATCTGGGAGTGAGAGAAATCAGCAGCTGCCTTGCCAGGACATTATTAAAGCAATGCCTTAAACAGTACCATGTTCCATGCCCCATCCACCTGGAAAACTGTATTGCACTTCCAGAAGCAGAGAGAGGATTTCAAACTGCAACAATGAAGTCACACTGAAGGCCTGGAAATCTGGACCTGAGCAGATTCACACATGGGTTTCTCTGGAAATTGTCCTGGGCCATTGAAGTCAGTGGGGCTTGGTAAGGGATCTTGATGAGCACAGGATCAAGTGCTAGAAGCAGTGCCCGCCGATTTTGACAATGGTTAATGCAAGAGGATAGAAATGAAAGGAGCTTTAAACCTGGAGACTAGGATACAAAACATGTCTGTCTTATCATTCCATCTTTAATATTGTTTGCATCCCACTAGCATCATTAGACTACTAGGCTTATTTTGGGCTGCAGAAAAGCTAGGAAAAGAAACATATAGCTGGAATCTGCGCAGGAAAAGCTCTAGCTTCCCAATTTGGAGGAATTACTCATGTTCAGTTTTGGGTTGTTGTGGCTTTTGTTTTGTTTTTTTTTCAAATTCAGACTCAACTTACGCTTCTAATACAATATTTACCACTGGACAGAGTCAGGGCACATAGACCATTTAACACAGTAAGTACCATAACGAGTGCAAAATGCTCCTAAGGAGCTCCACTGCTTAAAATATATTCTCTAAACTCAGCCCTTCAGCAAACAGGCCATTCTTATCCCATGTTTTGTTTCACAGCTGGAAGCAGCAGAGTGCCATAGGCCAGCCCAAGTCCTGCCTGGAGGCAAAAGGTTTATATTAACATCTGGCAAAGAAAATCTCAGCACAGATTTCCAAAGGCATTTTGATGCTTAACACAAAATTTTCTGGCTTTGAGTCTCCCACCTTTAACATAATCACACCTGTTCCTCTGCAAGACTAAACTATTCACTTTGCAAGATACAAACGAGATACTGCTGTGGTGAGGCAGTTGGCCAAATGGATATAGACTGTATGAAGGCATCCACTGTGTGATTTCTTGACTAAATCTGCATTGTGTAGCTTGGTACTCAGTGAGCACACACGGTTCCCATTTCTGGTTTATGGTGCAAACACATGTTGCAGGTCACAGCTTGATTTCTGAGCTCCTGGTAACAGTTAAGAGGACTGAGTTTGTGGCGGAAGGCAAGTAGATGGTTTTCTCCCTGTGTATGAGAAATAGGGAACTATACTGGTCTAAGCCTTAGGCCAGCATAACTCACTACATCTGCAGTCCAGGCACTGCTCTGCCTAGATTTCCTGTAAACCACCCAGTGCCTCTTCCTCCCACCCCCCAAAGTTTCCCAACTTACCTCTTGAATTTGTAGATTAAAAAAACAGCCAAGCCCACGAACACCACAGACAGCAACATCAGCATCGCCGAGCTGCTATGACCCGTGCTGGAATCAACAAGAGGTGCTGCAGGAGGAAAGGCAAAGCATTACATTTGCAAGATATTATTAGAGAACACGTAACTCCCAGAGAGTTAAGCTCAATTCTGTCTTTGCTACATCTGCTTTATCATCACTGCATGGTGCATGCTGTTTTTGGTAAGACCAATCAGTAGGAAACAAATTGTCCCTCTTGTCCTTTGAAAGCCAAGCTCCTCTTTCAAGACAGTGTAGTCTAACATCTAACATGTCCTAGTGAAAGGCACAGCAAGCCATGCTTAGCTGAATGGCTGACCACTCCTGTGTTAGCACTCTGGGCTATTTCTTTTCAGTCTTTTCCAGGGACTGGAATGGAAATGAAATTCATGAAGAGTGGCTTAATGCATATCTATTTCCCTTTGGAGAAGCTACTTCAGAGCATTCGTAAACAGCATGACTCCCATTTTCCAAGGACCTGTGTCTGTCTCACATGTGACAGGGATCCAGTCTGGTGAGAAGCTTCAAGTTTCACTCTCGCATTGGACCTTACAGACTTTTTAATCAAGTTGGTATTCACAATGTGGAGGAGCCCAGAGCAATAATCCTAGACCCAAGCATGCACTACATTATAACATTTTGTAAATTTGATCCATCCATCCTTGACATTGTCTCTAATGATGCACAAACAATTACGTGTAGCAGCTGAGTGTTTCTCACTCTGTATAAATATTTGGGTTTGTTTTCTTACTGTTCTCTATTCCTTTTCTGTCACCCAGAAAACAGGGACAAAGTCTATGCAAATAGAGTCCCTTTGGTTCTATCGCCAAATTTTCAGACCTAAGAGTCTGACATACTTCCAGTATTCTGCTTCTACTACTTGTATGGACTCTTGTGCAAATCAACTGGCTGTCATTTCACCCAAGTCAAAATTCTATGGGAATGGTCATGAAACAAATGCAGCACCCCCACTGGGTGTATGTGAGAACAGTTGAGCACTCTAATTCCACACCTTGCAGTGTCTTACTAGAACAAACCCAGATTCTGAACCTGGAGTCTGCAGATATTTGGATTTCATTCCCAGTTTTGCAAATGAATTCATTCCAGCCTACTCCTATTAACATCTGATTCTCACCCCCAAGCACCAGTCAGACAGTGAAGGCAAAAAGGCGTTACCTGTAGTATAAGTCAATAGCCTTGGTTTAGCCCAGCTCTTGGCTCTCTGAGAGTCAAAAGAAGCTAAAGTGTATTATCATGGGACATGAATCCCAATCTTTCTGAGCGGCTATCAGCAACGTTATATGCACAAGATCCCACACTTTAGTTAATTGCAAGGGCAAAACTAAATCCATCATCTCCTCTGTAGTCATCACTGTCTCAGCAATAGCTGAGAGCTTTACACGAGGCTGGCTGAAATTCTCAGCAGTAGCTGAGAGCTTCACGCTAGGATGGTTTAAAGCAAAAGGGGTGATGAAGCTTAAAGTGACTATTCATTACTTTGAGCAAAAATGGAAATAGGTAGCATTGAAATTTAAATAAGTTCTAATTTGCAGAAGTCAATATTCAATATTCCCTGTAAGAGGTCTACATCTTCTTTTCATGAGCATTTTGCCCCTATAAAGCTTCTTGGCTTGTCATAACATTAACAAGCCCTTTGCAATAAGGATTTGATCCAATATCCATGATAGTAATACTCCCACTGAATTCCACAGGTGCCCAATGAGGGCTTAATAGAGCACCATTTGCCTGATTTTCCAAAACACTTGAAAAACATCAATGCACTAGCTAATTGAGCCATAGGGAACTCTTAAAAGGTATTTTGAATACTTGTACAAACTGGTGCATGAAGATGCCACTGCTGGATTGCTTTTCACACTTCGTGCTTCTACCACAGACAATGTCTCGATACGATCAGTCCTATCTATCCCAATAGCACATACCAAACTGTGAGTGCTCTGATGTAGACTAGAGTTGTCTGAAATGTCAAGAGAACCACAGCTATGCATTTGACTTCACGCTCACCTAATGTTAACTGAGTAACATACACAATGACTTCAACTCCAGGCTTCAGTTCAAACTGGACCAGGTTCTGGTTGAGAGCATTAAAAAGGATTTCTACCACCTGACAAAATAATAAGAGATATAGTAGTTACAATATAGAAGACAACAAGCTCTGGAGAACATTCAGGAATACGTGTAGCCTATGAACGGTGACTAACATCTCTTACTGGTTTCAGGTAGAGAAGGGAAACAAGAAACTGAGGAAGTGAAGAAAAACATGTACATGTGCTGTAGGCAGAACTGAGTGTTACTGCGTGCAAATCTCCCTACAGGACTTTTGAGACTCACACAGTATATCATTATACCTCTCCTGGGAAGCAAACCAAGAAAGTTAGCATTTATTTTTCTCTATATTGAGGAGGTAAGAGAGGAGTGAAAAGAACTAAGGATCTTTTCACCGTTCCCAATGTCCTGTGAGTTTGATCTAATGCACTTTGAAATCACTGACATATTTGCCTTTCACTGGTGGATGGTGGAATTGAGTTAGGTGGTCCAGCCTAATTACATTTCTTTACTCAAATAGGCTGTTGGGGATGAAACAATCCAGTTTTGACAATTAATGGCAAACTTGCTGTATCTCTCCTTCATTTAGAAGAGGGGCCTTGGACTAGATTTATCCATGGCTCAGCAAATCAGCTGTGTTATTTGGTTGTCTCAGAGCACATACTTGGTATGTCACACTGGAGCCTGAGTTTGTTAACATCCAGTCCTCCTAGAGTAGTTCCAGTGGTCAGGGCACAGCTACTGAGTAGTTCTGGTGGCCAAAGGAACCTGAACTGTAATCCAGGGCAGAGCTCCTCAAATGGAAGCCAAAACCAGGTGCCAAAGTACAACTGAGCAGACTGTTAAATAAAATTAGAGCACTAGAGCTTCAGGCCTCATTGTCAGCAAGTCAGGAGCTGTCTGTATAATACTAATATACGAACTATTGACACAACAGCTTGTTTGGAGTGAATTTTAACATGGGTAGATCCTACTGAACAGGACAGATATGACTCCAAGAAAATACCTCCAAAAAGCCTTGCAAACTTTCCCACCACAATGCACTTCTTATGCATACTCACCACCATAAATTTAAGAGGCCAGCTTTGCTAGCTTCCTAGGACAAACATACTACACTGAGGGGACTGACTTTGCTCAGTAGGTGACAAGAGCTTCTACAGATTTCAGCAGTCCTCTGAATTATTTCATGTTTAATCACAGAAGAGTTACACCTCCAAGAGTTACTACAAGATGGGCTCACACATAGCTTGCATCCAGTAAAAATACTGCATGCAAGAACATTAGCTAGAGCTAAGCAGCCTTTCAGCAGTACTTCACTCCTTTCCCTTTATAAGAGCTGATTTAATCACTTGGTAATTCTACCATGAAAGCTTCAGCAGACTAGTGCTGTTGTTCCTAGCTCTTCCCTTGCCTGCATATCACTGCTGCTATTCATCACTGTAATTACCTATTTATCTAAGTGGATGGATATTGTAACTTCCAAATATAGTTTGCACAAGCCATTCGCTGCTGCAGAAAGAAGAGGTCTCGAGTTGAAGAGCTTCCTGTATTTTTAGTAAACCTCAGTATATTACCTTGCTGCTTTGGCCCCTGTCTATTAGCATTCCTTTAGGGAGTAGAGGGAGTACATATTCAAGGTTCCTTTGGCCATAACTACTTTTATAAGGACACACTTCCGATCTAGGAAGAACCACTGCTGGTAGACTGTGATGTATCTCAGTGAAGTATTAGAAAAGCCTTTTTTTAATTTAATGCCATAAACTATACTGCCACAGTCCCAGATGATTCCAATTCCATCGTGCTTATTGTAAGTAATTTTCAATACTACACAAGTTAAGTAGCACATCTCCAAATTGTATGAATGTTCCATGACTCCTTCTTTCCTTACTTGCTCCAGATCAGCCTCACTGCTTTTCCTCCTCTCTGTTGTGTTTTTATGGGGCAGTATGAAGAGTTCAGCAGAAGTAGGCAGCCCAGGAAATACAGCTACTAAGATCTGATCATCAGGGATACCAGTCACCTAGAAGAAAAGTAAAAAGGAGGTCTTCAGCTGCTATTCTGTTACTGATGTTTCCATTCACCACGGGAAACACTCTTGCATCAAGTTATTATTTACCAGTTCCAGTGTAGGTGTTGTGGTCCTAATGAGCTGTTCTGCCCATTTGGTGAGTCACAAATAGAGGTTTTGCTAATGATTCACTCTACTTCATTTATAGAAGCAAATGTAGGATTGACAACACCCCTGAATCCTAAAATCTCAACACAAAGACTAAACCTGCCATTTCTCCAGATCTGAATTTTCCATATAGTCCATCTTGCTACAAAAGAATGACCCAAAGTCAGATCCAGAGAGTCTGGCTCAGAGTGACCACTGGTAAATGTGCAATTAACAGGGACATATAAAAAAAAAAAAAAGCCTGCAATCAGCTTCTAATATCAGATTATGGGGATCCACATTTGCCATACATGAACAACTTTATGACTGGGATCCACATTTGCCATACATGAACAACTTTATGACTTCAATTGGAGACATTTTACTATTGGGCCTGACTGGGAGGGCTGTGCTAGGAACTGCTCAGTTTGCTGAACCAAGAGTCAGTTCCACACCTGATCCTCTCAACTGTCTTAGCATGACCTTAGCATGCCCACTGAGGTTACTGCCCTCTGTCCCCAGATCCAAGCTGTGCATTCTCAGTAAGGCAGGAAGCCTCTCTACCCTCAGGAACTCTCACTTTATGAGGCTAACCCCATTAGCTCCCTGGACCTATCTACCTAAAGCTCCTTGGCTGCATTCCTGAACTGAAATGTATCAAAGGGGCAGCCCATTCTTGCTGATCCATCCTACAAGCGCAGACTAGGCTTGTACATACACTAGGTTGTAACTAGATAGTCACAAAAGGATATATACGAGGAAGCACTTCTACATGATTTCTACTGCTATCTGTAACCATTCATAGTTCCAATCTAATTAATTTCTTTTTTTTTTTTTTTTGCAAGCTTGACTCTGAATACAGTAGAAGAGAACAACAGTTAAAACAAATGAACTTCGTGTTTTCTCAGGATGAGAAAACAATCAAGGAAGCTCTTATAAACTGTGAATTT